GTACTTGAGAGTTTCTCGAGTCGGCAAATTGGGAATGTCGTGTTGCTATGGGTTAAGCCTTATGTTTGTGCATAAGGGTTGCGTTCGACTCGTGGAGTCGATATCATGAGAGTATGAGCATGATGGTTTAGTGTTGTATGTAGGTGGTACCGTGTTGTGGTCTCGGATGGAGACGCATGGTCTGTGATGAAATCTTGAGCAAGTTATTAGTGTGACTCGGATACGAGACTGAAACTTGGCGTCACGTGTCCACCTTGATGGTGAGGTAGTCGGAGTACGCTGGCATTACACCGAACGACCTGTTAAGGTCTTGTGTGTGGTTAGGTACGAAGCAAGTCGTTGATACTCATGAGTATAGGCTAAACCGAACTGGGTCCCTTGCAAGAGGATGTACGCCTGAGCTCGTAGAACTGATCACCCTCCCAAGCAAGAAGGTAAACATATGAGCATAGGGCGAGTTGGATTGATTCCTGTATGTGAGTACATGCCTTTCGAGTATAAGGCGATAGGACTCATGGGAACGAAATCGAGTTCCGGAGAGTGATGCCTGGACCTCGTGGTTGCAAATTCCTGTGCGAGCCTATCGTCTTCCTCACAGCATCTCAGTTAACCATCGCGAGCCTCCCTTCTCACCGACGAGCCACCAGAGAACTCCCGACGAGCCGCTGCCCCTCCGCGCGTAGCCCTTCGCCGTGACCGACAGCAGCGCCAGGCGATCCCCTCCGCCGTCGCGACGCCCTCATCCTCCGCGAGTCTCTGCCTCTGCCATCACTGCCACTCGCGGACAACCACTGGCTCTCGATGAGACCACATGAGACGACCGCCACGAACCAGCAGGCCCTCCACAGCGACCCGACGATCCCGCCCTAGAGCCACCGGCAGCCGCTGCAACTCCGGCGAGCTCTCCCAGCAAGCCTGCCATTCCCGCTGCCCTCGTGATTGCCGTCTCCGCGAGCCCTCATGATTGTCGTCTCCGCAATCCGAGCGTGAGCCGTCGAGCTGCCTTCGACGTGTCGTCGACTCTTGTCTGTCCCGTTTTTCGAGTGTAATCCCGAGAATGGTACCGAGGCTCATTCCTCTCGTTAATTTCGTGTCTATTTGACGTGTTGAACATGCTTTGCGATTTATTATTTGCCATATAATTTTATGTGTGTTTGATTTAATTTAATTCAATTATTGTGTGTGTAGACGAGCTCTTCGATTTTGAGAAATCGAGTGAGACCTCGTAATTCATGATTAGGGTATTGTGGGATGGAACATAAAGAGTCCGTGGCCTTATGGTGAGGGCCTCGGACGAGAATCGTGTGTAAATAGTTGAACTCGTATAAATTGCTGTTTTGAAATTAAATTCATTAAAAATCGTATGATGCTCCGATTGCCATGAAATTTTGGGTGTAATCGCCTCTGTTGTTTATGAAGCTCGTGTAAAAATTTTATAATTTTATTTGGTCTGTAGCTATTTTAATTAATTAAAGTCATTTCTGGGCAGAACTGTGTTAATTGCATAATAAATTGATATGTGCTCCAAGTTGGCTGAAATTCGAATATGTTGTGTCTCTAGCATATTTACTTGTGGCATAAAATTTTCAGAATTTGTGGACTCGGTTTGCTAAAGGAAATAATTTATTTTGTGATTATGCCGAAAACTGTTTCAATTATGATAAATTGATCTGATGCTGAAAAATTCTGATTTTGTATTGAAGTGCTTATTTTGTAATTTGTTTCATGCTGCAAAAATATTGGAATTTTTAGAGTTCAGATTGGTTATGTATTGCTGAAACATTGAAATTTACTGAATGTTGTTACAATTTTATTAATTCGCATGTTAAGTGTTTAAAACTGAGATTTTTACATGCTGCTATTCACATGCTGAGGTTCCTTGGATAAAAATTTCATAGGCTAATTCGTTCAATAGGTCTGGTTGTTAATTTATGTTCGTCTTTGCTGTTAACTTGTTTGAATTTTATAAAATCGTGTCTTCTGAGTTTGGGGCTGAAAAACATAGTTCTGGGAGTTGAATTTTTGGTTAAAATTTCAAAGCCTAACTCATTCGGTAACCTGACCAACCTAATTATGTGAATTACCGGCTTTTATTTCGAAAATGTAGTTTTTGTGTTAAAAGCTATAAACCGGTTCACTCGTTGTTTTTTAGACTTTTTTGGAATATCTCTAATGTGACATTGCGTGAACTTTTATGTTTGGTTGGTTGAGTCTAAGTCTAAGTGTTCCAACGTCCACAGGACTTCACGAACAACTTAGTCGAATCAAGTTCGATTAAGTATGATTGTGTACTCCTCTTTAGGTCAAGATAGATGTTGATTATAGCATCTTGACTTAATGTAGGTATTTTGGGGCGTTGACCTCACTCTGCTTTCGAGAATCATGATTGTGAATTGTCGCTTCGACCAGGTGGGTTTTAGCATGATCAATGTGTGCTTACGAATCATGTAGCCTTCGATGTGAGCTGTATCGACCATCGAACGGTTGTTCCCGTATTTATGAAAATAAACCCGAGGGGTTACTCCTACTGCTGGGCATCTATAAAAGCCCGAGGGGCATTCGGTGTATAAGACCGGGGGGCATAGATGTAGAGCCCATGGGGCATTCGAAGCATGACCCGAGTGAGGGCCTTCGATACATCTACCGGCAGTAGTCTATTAGTATAGATGTGCACATGAGTCTGAACACTGTGAATTTATGTTGAAAACTTGGGATACTTAATTGATTCTTATACATGCTGTGATCATACTATTTCTCTTACTGTTTATGTAATGAAAATGTTTAATGCATAGTGGTGAGCACTACGATTTCCAACTGTGCTCATCCCCACCTGAAATTAACGTTTCAGGTTAAGTAAGGAGGGTACGACGGCGGAGTAGAGCGAGTGGTAGTCGGTCTATGAGACCAGTTATTAATTTATTTTGCATCCACTGTACTTATGATTATTTATTATTTATGAATTTTGGAACTCTGAGAATTTATGAAGTATTGAGATACTATTGGGGATGCCCCGTTGACATTGTTATGTCTTGAAACTTGTATTTTATTTTAGGAACCCGATTTGGGTGAGTTGATGATTTATGAATTTATGGATCCCGTGTTGGGAGTTAGATGACTTATGTTATGAAATTGATATTATGTCATTGAAATGATTTGAAATAAATGAGTAAGGCCACAAATGTCTGAAATAAATTTTGAAAAATATATTCTGATTTTTTTGAATGTCCGGAATTTCTTTAAAAATCAAAGTGGGGCGTTACAACTACAAGATAAGAACATATTTCTTCCGCAAAAATGTGTGTAGTTTTGTCCGCGAATCGACCCGCCATTTATGTATAATTTTAGCCAAGATAACTTTTTGGACAACAATAGTGAGATCTAGCTTGGATACGTTAACGGGAACAAATTTATCATCGGCTATATACACGCTATCTTTACCCTTCTTAAGAAGAAGTCAATCTTTTGCAAGATATCCGAATTTACCAATAATTATAGCCTTTCCTTTTGAACTTCTTGGTGCTCGGTTGTGGTTGCTTTCTACTCAATGTTCTCATGCGCTTTTATGTGAGTTTGACTCGGCCAAGTTTGTTTTAGCCTCGAAGTCACTCTGTTTAACTCTCACTTCAGATTTTGGGTTGTCATCCTCAATTGATGTAGGACTATTGAGTTCTTCAATGTCATCTTCTTACTTTTATGCATATGATAACTTTTTAAGTCCTTTCGAAACGATAATTTTTTTTAATGATAATTACAACTTGAAAGACCTCATTCAGGATCAATCATTTGACCAACAAATCATAAATTTAAATTTCTAGCACTATGCTAATCAACGACCGAGTGTCAACTAACAAGTATATAAGGTATTTTTCGACGAGAAAGTCTTTATCTCGACGTCTTCCATCTTGTACTTCACCATCAATGAATTTCATAACTCCTTAAGTGTTTTAGTCAAAATGAAAAGTGTTAAAAAAATAATCTAGTTCATAAAAGAATGTAACTTCTAAAAAAGAAATAAAAAATTGACTGTGATACCACTAAGTCTGCAAACGAGCCGAGCGGCTCACGAGCGGTCAAGTCAAAGCTCGACTCGAGCTCGAGTTTGACCGAACTCGAGTCGAGCTCGAGCCCATATTTTGTCTTGTCGAGCGGCTCGAGATACAGTTAAATTACTAAAATAACTCTTATGTATATATTAGCATAGGTGCTTAATGGTAATTTTACCTTTTCACTTAAAAATTTTCGAGTCGAACTCGAGCATTTTGATTTCGAGTCGAGCTCGAGCTTGAGCAACTGAAAAAAAAAAAAAATCAATCTGCTCGATAAGACCAATACTCGACTCGGCTCGGCTCGTTTGCAGTCTATCGTACCACACACCACATAGGCTTTTAGTTGTTGGTCTCACTCTTTTGGAATGAGTAAAGTTCTCCAAAATAATTCGAGAATATTGAGGTAAAACGATATCTTCCCTTCTCCTCCTCAAAATCCCGAGGCCTCACATACAGGAAGGTATATAAGCGGTGAACTTAGAAATTCCAGTCGACCGTTTCCCGCTCAGGAGACATACATTGCAAAACACCTCTCTAATTTCCTCCCACAAAATCCCTAGCCTAAAATCGACCCAGAAGCAATCCACGGCGGACGACGCGAAGAACAGAACCTGCGGAGCTTACGTCCCTCCTTCCGGTTGATGGACCAAGTGGTGACGATTACCAGCAATTAGCCCGGGACTCCCTTCGCCTGACCATCAACAGCCTCGTGAGCAAGGTAAATTCCACCAACATCAAGCACATAGCCCCAGGCAGCGTCCCCATTATTCACGCCGTTTACGCCGCCAACTTCAAATCGGCGGCCTTCTACTCCGCAGGTCGTTCTTAACTTCAGCAGAGCATTCATATCCATCTGCTACCTCTCTCAGCTGGCCTCTCTCAAGTTTATAACCCATCTTGTGAACCCGCGCACCAACTGCTCGCCCTTTTGCTCGAGAGACAGTGTAGAGTTATCTGATCCGCTCATCACCGAATGTGGGGTTGCGCTTTGAATTTGTGCCCCAGAGACCTGAATACGGCTTTGTACAAGTTCTTCAGGACAACCTCAGCAATATACATGAAGACGATAGTGATGATGATAACTCTGATGTGGAGGAAGAAGTTTCGAGTGATGAGCATTCTGTGGAGGAGAAAGAAAATCAGCAGGCGCAGACGAGAATGAAAAATACGGGACAAGGCGAAAAGTGAACTAGTCAACCTCCAGAAGACAATATACCTTATCATCATGAACGGCATGTCGTTTAAGTCGTGCAGACACAAATTGCTGCAGGAGATGGTTCTATGTGTCATGGTTCTTGAATGATTTCATCCTCTCATTTTTGTATGATGCTTTTGTTCCAGTAGCTGTCTTAGCAGCTCCGTCTTTGTGAGGAATGTACAATTTTCCATCAACTTCTTGAAGTCCATAGGACTTAGTGACGTAACTAAAGACATGCACGCTTACTTGAAGAGAACTCTACAATTTATTTTGCAACGGGATGAACCTGTTGTTCTAATAGTCTGGTAGAATAAATAATAGGAAGAGGAAGCGGAAAGTGGTGGAGATAAAAGAAGCAAGCTACATACCAGATAATGAGGAAAGCTTTTTCCGGTTGTAAGAGAATAATTTACAGTGGGTATGTCTGGATATTTTTTTTCAGCTGATTCTGTATGGTTTATGGGTTTCTACCTTTTCAATTTTCCTGCTGCAATTTGGTAAGTTTGTGCATTTGGGAATTGGGTTTTCTTGTTGTGTCCATGACCTGCTTATAAAGTTAATCTTTGATGTATTGAATAACTTGTCCAATTAGCTTTTGTTTGCTTTGTTATTTCATTGAANTTAATTGGTTTAGAACCATAAAGCTGGTAGTAACACTTTGTTAGTTGATCTATTGACTAGCTGATCCTATTATTTTCGTTTTATATTTTTCCCTTAGTTGATGTGTTAATTTTTGGCGGGTACAGTTTACCTTGAAACACCGTCATGCCTAACATATTATGACCTGTCTGCATTGTTACGAACCTTAGGGTTTTGGACGTTTGAATAATTCACATCTGAAGATGCCCATATATATAGGCTGGGCTGTTAACATGAATTTGTTGTCCAATTAGTTACTGCTGAACACTTTGCTCTTTCTACACCAGGTCTTATCTTTATCCATTTCAGAATTTGAGCCATTGAATTGATTTTATTTCTTAATAACTAAATTGTCTCTCCTTGGCAAATCTATGTATTAATCTTTATATTAGCGACATAAGGGTAGACCATATAATTTAATCTTTATATTAGCGACATAAGGGTAGACCATATAATTTAGATAAAGACTGAAGGATTCTTTTGGTGCCATATGGTTATTCGGCTCTCGAGTTCGTTGTTCCTTTTATTAACACTTGACACAGCATTCTTTATATCAGCTGTTTTTCTTGAAAATCTTTTACAGCTATGGTTACAGCCTTACGGTTGAAATTGCATTCATTATAATTGTTTCAGTAGATGCTGATATTTTTCTACGGAGGTTGTAATTGCATCTCATGAGTGGTGTTTCTGAAAGAAGGCACCTCTTTGTCTATCATTCCAAACTTTCTTGTACTTTCCATAATATATTTGAAACTGCTTGTTATTCTGCTCCATTTAAGATTACAAGTCATTTTCTTCCCTTTACTAAATTGGCCCCTTGATCTAATCCATCTATGTGGTTATGCTCTTGATTTACTATTGGTGTTTATTTTATGCCCTGTAGTCATGTTTAAATTTGGTTGACAATCAAGTGGGATGCTTTGAAATATTGAACTGGTGTTGTGTATATGTGACATGCTTATGAATTTTCAAACCTTATCTTTACATGAAAGGATGAAAGGATGAGAACAGAAGAGTTGAGCTCAATGATCAAGTTGGCGCAGTTCGTTTTGTTTTTTTCTGATGAAATGGTTAAGGTATGTTGTTCTTTTTTCTCCTCTTTTTTGTTTGAGTTTATGAAATAAGTACGCAATTTGAACCGAACTGCATATGTCTAACTCTACATCTTATATAAGTTCTGATATATTTTAACATATGACAACTGTTCTTTAATATGTTTCATTTGAAGCAAATTAAATGGGAGTCGAAGAATGGACCAAATCTTTTTTTTGGATCAGTTTTTCCAGTGAAGTTGGTTTCAATTTGGTTACAAGAAATGAATAATAAATTTGCTCACCACTATCCATATGTCCTGGTTTTTGTCACTACTGTAGTTAAAAATTGTTAAAAATTTGAAGTGCATCAATGTTATCTGGCAGTGGCTTGTCAAATGCTTGTGATATTATCTTGGATTTGAATTGAGATAAATGTCAATGCCATATCCAATTGCAATTGGTATTTATTTTATCTTGTTCAGTGGATCTTTGACTGGAGTTGCTAATAGCTTCTTCTCTTTTATCATATTTTTATGTTTGATTTACTCCCTTGAATTTTTTCATTATAATGTGACAAAGAGAACTCCAAGATTTAGGTAGAAGAACATCCCGTGACAAACCCTCAAATAATATGCCTTAATGGAGTGAGATGTTTATTTAATATCAGAGGTCAAACTTTGAATTCTCACATGTAAATATTAGGGTGTGTTTGTAAAAGAATAAATTCGCTCCTATTTACTCAAGGTGAGTTTTTTTTGTAGTTAACTAGGGTTAATTTAGAAAAAGTGGTATGATTAATTGTTAGTGGAAATTTGAGTTTATATTAAAATAATATTTAAATAAAATAATTAAAGTTGAATTCACATAAAAGTAAGAGAGATGAAATGAAGTGATGGTTAGTAAAAATAATGTGAGTGGATGAATAATGAATTAAAGTTGATATGATGTGTAAAAATGATTAGTTGTTATTATTTAATTATATTGATAAAATTAAGGATAGTGAAGTTGAATTAAAGTTGAGTTAGATTTTGAAAATGAATTAATTTGGATTGAGTTTTTCCTTTTACAAACATAACCTTAGAGCATCTCCAACCTACCCTCTAAACTCAGCGGAAACTGTACATATATTATACAGAGAAAATCTTGCTCCAATGCAACTCTCTCCTTTCCTCTATTTCAAGCGGAATGGGTTGTGGAACGGCTTCCCCACTGTTCCACTGTTCACCCCTCTTGTTTTTTTNAACATAAAAAAAAAAAGAGTAAGACTTGCATACCTGATCGGAAAGTTCAGAGAAGACCTCAGATTCGAGGAATTGAGCGAGGCTTTCTTTTTCATCATTGTGACCCATAGCAATTACAAAGTTTTATTGGAGATTAAAAAAAAATCGGATCTTTGATTAGCAAAAATAAGTTAACGGAAAAGACGAGGTGGTAATATGAATCATCGCCGGCGATTTAAGATGTACGGCGTCGGCGGATCTGGGCCGTTGATGTAACGGGACGACGACATTTGGAAGACGAGGCATGAGAATAGGAGGAGCGAAATTCGGGATCGGGTCACGTAAAATTTACATCGGGTTATTTTATAATTTAATTAGCATTTTAATTTGTATTTAGACTCACTTAAGTAAATATTACAAATAAACAAATTAAATTACAAAATAAGGATAAACTTCCAACTCACTCAAAATTAACTGTTCTTATTGTACTTCATGTTTGTGTTGATTTTTTTTTAAATTAATGTTCGTGATGAAATCCACGTGGTTTTATGATGCAGTGTGTAATTTTATGATTTTGATATAAATTTGTTAATTAATCTTATTAATCAATAATTAATATATATTCATAAATATGTAAATTTTAGGAAGCATAATGCATTAATATGTAATTTGTAGAGATTATTTAATAAACTAATAAAATTAGAAAAGAATGTGTTGGAGTTGCTGGTACTGTTGAAACTGTAAAACTAGTGGAATTTTACTGTAGAAACTGTAAATTTAGAGGGCATGATTGGAGATGATCTTAGCACCCAATGTTTGAAATTGTTGGGTTAAATTTATATCTCTGACTCTGGTTAAGTTTTCAATCAATATAGAAATGAAAATCTACTCCAAACACATGTATGAAATATTTCATTTTTAATTTTCAGATTTCTGGAATCTTTAGGTCCATATTTATTACATACAACCTACTCTTTCCTATTTTTAATATTTGTCATTCTAGCTTAATTGATCATTTGTTAAATAAATGTCGTTTTGACTATTTTATTCATATTTTTCCCTTTTAGTCCCTCCATCAATATCCATTGTCTCTTCATATTCTCAAGAACATCCATCCATAATTGTGTCATTAAATAAGGTTAAACTTGAAAAGAAATATTTTTTAATTAGTGTGTTGATAGCCAAGATGACAAATATTTAAAATAGGAAGAAGTAAAATTATACCTCAAACAAATATCAACGGTATTTGAGCTTTCAAAATTCACATGAAACCAAGAATCTTTTACACCAATAATACTAAATCTTAAAGACAAAACAAATGACGAAAAGGGAAGGGACTTTTTCAAAATGTATGGCACTGGCACCTGAAAGGGCTGGCAAGTTGGCAGTCTCTTACATTCATGTAAATTTAAAAATATATTTTTAAAATATTTTAATAAAAGTAAACAGAAAAAGGCAGGAGTATTAGATTCTTCTTTCCACTAACTCCCATCAAAATGTCAACGCCCGCCTTCTAACCCCCACTCTCCACTTTTCTTTTATTATCTGTTTTTCATTTCTTTTTTCTCCACTTTAAATATTTTATAGTTATATGTTTTTTTGGTCATCTCGTTCCACACTATCCATTGTGGTTCTATGTCACGCGTGCAAATGTACACCAATTGGAAGGTACTATTTACCATTGATTAAGATATAGCTGTTATTAATTTCAAGTTGAACATGGTATATGACAATCAAAAGAAATTATTACCTATGGTGATGGTATACCTAATATTGTATGAGTCATGATACAATAGCATGATATAATATAAGTGACAGAAACTGGGGGAAAATGGGTGCTGGCCCACTACCATGAAAGACACCATGAAAGAAGGGAAAAGCCCATATGAAGCCCAAATGGGGTTCCCATTAGTCTTATAAGATGGGTCGATTTTCCATATATGAACGATGTGAGACAACTCACAAGTGATATTCTAACACGTTCCCTCACTTGTGAGTCCTTCGAAAGCCCAAACCCAACTGGGCTGGGTGCCCCAAGACCTACTACAAACAGGCTCCCATAAACGGGTACGTGGGGGATAAACAATGGGTACGTCATCACACGGTCCAAGATAGAACCGGCTCTGATACCATGACAGAAACTGGGGGAAAATGGTTGCTGGCCCACTACCATGAAGGACACCATGAAAGAAGGGAAAAACCCATATGAAGCCCAAATGGGGTTCCATCCCAAAACCAATTGGTGTAAGGAGGAGTAGCCCATTAGTCTTATAAGGTGAGTCTATTTTCCATATATGAACGATGTGGGGCAACTCACAAGTGATATTCTAACACGCTCCCTCACTTGTGAGTCCTTCGAAAGCCCAAACTCAATTGGGCTGGGTGCCCCAAGCCCTACTACAAACAGGCTCCCATAAACGGGTACGTGGGGGATAAACAATGGGTACAGGCTCCCATAAACGGGTACGTGGGGGATAAACAATGGGTACGTCATCACACGGTCCAAGATAGAACCGGCTCTGATACCATGACAGAAACTGGGGGAAAATGGGTGCTGGCCCACTACCATGAAGGACACCATGAAAGAAGGAAAAAGCCCATATGAAGCCCAAATGGAGTTCCATCCCAAAACCAATTGGTGGAAGGAGGAGTAGCCCATTAGTCTTATAAAGTGGGTCTATTTTCCATATATGAACGATGTGGGACAACTCACAAGTGATATTCTACCAATAAGATTTGACATAATATATAAGTGTTAATATTTTATGCTTTTACACTTTATATCAACTTTAAAATTAACAATTCCTACAGTTGGACTCATTTATATAAAAAATTATGTCAAACTAATATTACTCATAACATTCAATGATTAAATTTCAGATAAAATTATAAAGGTAACATGAATACTAGAGCAAGACATAATTCATTATCTATAATTTTACTTTTTTTAGCTAATAACAAAATTGATTAATAAAGTAATATTGACAATTATTTCTTATGATGACCAGATTAGGTATAGGTTGACCTATAGCTTCACCAGTTCACCCCAATTTTCATGTAGTATATATTTTTTCCATATAATGTTTTTTTGGGTATAAATTAATTACCGAATTAGCTCAAACGGTACCTCTTGAAAGATGAATGGGCAGCATAAATAGAAGACGTCATCACACCTCATTCTTACACACTATGAATGAGTTTGACTTTGCGCTTTAAAAGTGATATCCTGATAGCGATTTAACATTCGCAAGAGAAAAATCTCCTTTTTTTTTTTTCTCTCTTCCCATCTTTCATTTTCTAGTAGAGTAAAGGCAATGGAGAGTCTGCCCTCTGGTTATCGTCCCAACGTTGGAGTTTGTCTCATCAATGACGATAATTTGGTAAGAAAATTAAGTATTTTTAAATTTTATTTATTTATTTATTTATTTTTGGCTGAGAGGATGGAAAAATTGTTGTGTTCTTGATACATCCTTTCTTTTGGTTTTGTTTTCAAGTTGTATCTTTTTCCCCATCAAAGTAAGTGGCATGTGATCTTTTTCTTTTTTCAAACTTTGTGTTGTTTTTCTAGTAAGAATATTTTATCTCCTATATTTTTTTAACCATTTATTGTGCTATCAAAATGCCATCTTTTTCTATGGGGGTCTTCAAATTAGGAATTATGAGATCTTCATAGATTTTCACTTGATATTTTTTTAGCATACTTCCAATATTTTTTTTACCATCTAATTGGAATTCTCAGTCTTTTGTATAGATTCACTTCTTAATATTTAAATGGGATGTGTTTGTGTTCTTTGATAATTGATATCATGATTACAGTACTTGTATATTTAAAAACTTCTTCAGTTTTAGATGCTTTCTGTTTGCTCAGAGAACGTTGTAGATGTTTTTGATGTACTGATTATAAGTGAGTATATATATTATGTATTGTTCTTAAATTTCTAGTTATATTCAGATGGACTTTTCTGTTTCTCTTTTCTTTTATTAGCCTTTTGGGGATCTGAGCTTCTAGAGAGAAAGTGGGTGTATTTGCTGAGATTAGTTGATGCAAACACTCTCTAAATTGAAATTTGCTTATTTACTTGAAATCATGAAAATAACATAATTTTTTGGAAACCAAGTTGAATATGAAATGATATGCATGCTTCGTCAATTCATGAAAAGTATATTAGTTTGTTGTCTGTGAGTTAGATATAAGATCAATTGGAGATCAAAATGGACTTGAAGCATTGATCATCTTTCGCATTTATAAGACACTAGTTCGTTTAGATTGACAATAGAAAAAAAAAAATCATCAACGTTTTACAATTTGATTCTAGGTGTTCGTAGCTTCCAGATTAAACGTTCCTGGAGCGTGGCAAATGCCTCAGGTAATGCCACTTTTTCTTACATAATTCGGCATAATCTTCATTTTATCATTTTCCCTTGAAATTGTCCATAAAAACTATCAAAAAATTGAGGGAAGAAACTGGAATTGTCCATAAAAATGATCTTTCTTTAATAAAATATACTAATTTTCTCAGCCGTTTTTCGCGATAGGGTGGTATTGAAGATGATGAGGAACCAAGGTCTGCAGCAATCAGAGAATTGAGGGAAGAAACTGGAATTGTGTCTGCTGAAATAATTGATGAGGTTATTTTTTTTTTACTCTTTGTTCTTTTTTGTTTTCCTTCAGTGTTTCTATTTTGCCATCGAATAGAACTCTAGTTCTGCAATTAATTACGTCTCATTTGGGGGTTGTGCTAATCATTAATTGGATTTGAATACCAAAAGAAGTTGTTTGTTCATTTTGCAAAAGTGTTTGTCAACTGTATTAGGTTCCAGGATGGTTGACCTATGACTTCCCACCGGCTGTAAAGGCAAAAGTCAATCGTTTATGGCGTGGAGAATGGCATGGCCAGGCACAAAAATGGTTAGTTTTATCACGTCATAATAAATGTCCTATTTTACGACTTATCGAAACTAATTTGTATGTATAGAAACTAACGAATTGTCCCACGTGGTTTGGAACTTTTAAGAAGCCGCTGAAAAAAAAGTCCCTCGTCTCCCTTTTTTGACATGAATATGATCGTTGTTTAGATTTAAAACCAAAACAAAAAACAAAAACATATCTGTTTTTTCCAGTTTGGATTTTTCTTGAATCGACAAATCTGGCTGGTTGAATAATTAATGGAAGGGACTTGTTGAGAATTGTTTCTTTTTATATTCTTTTCCGAAAATACTCTTTACAAACTATGCTATTTTTGTCGAAAAAATAAGTGCAATTACCGAAACTTCTCTGCTTTACTAGGATATTAAGCCATCGTCATATTTCATAGCTGGTGATTTATACATGTATAGATATTTTCTTAGATTTTCTTAGAGCTCAATAGGTTTGTACAAAATTTATGAAGTAACAATTTCTTTAGTAGGAGTGAAATAGCTTGGATGTTTGACAGGTTCCTTATGAGATTTAAAGCTGATGAAAGTGAAATCAATTTAGCAAATTGCGAAACAGACCCTGAATTCGCAGAATGGAAGTGGGCTACCCCTGAAGAAGTCATTGAGCAGGTATTCTAACTTTTTTTTTTTTAAATTTGCCTCTGTTATCTTTGGGATAAAACACAAAAGAAATTCCCACAAACTTTCTCTAATTACAAAATACTTGGAAAACTTTCCTGTTGAGTGAAAGTTTTGCAAAACAAAAGCAAATTTAAAAGTTGCTTTTATGATTTTGAAAGATGGTTGGATGTTTAATTGAATTGAATTTCGAGGTTTTGCTCTTGAATAATCCTTGTATTTTTGTATATCAACCAGGCAGTGGACTACAAGAGGCCAACGTACGAAGAAGTCATGAAAACCTTCGGGCCTTACTTGAACTCAGGAAAAGCTACAAAGTGTTACTCAACTAAATGGTGAACAATATCATGTGTGTGTTACTTGCAGNTAAATTTTAATAAAATGATTCTTCAAGAATTATTATTATTATTTTTTTTGTTGCGTTGCTGTTCAAGATTCACATCTTTTATGGATTTTTTTTTTTTCATATTTTGGTTTTGTTGGATTTGAAAATTTTCTCTGCATCTTTTGAACTGATAGAAAGGAGGAGAAGATGAAAAGATTGTTGAGTTGATATTCTTAATTCAACTCATTAGTACTGAGTTTGGACTTTTAGAGCAAAGGTTTAGCTAAAAGCCTGAAATGTTACAAGTATAGTAAGATTTACTTACTGCAGAGCTACATGCTATGGCCTAATTTAGTAATTTCGGTGGATTTTGATGGTAAATAAAGCTTGGCAATTAAAAATATATAACGTGAAACCTGAAAGAGTACAATACAACGAGTAATTAAATGATTACATAGTAGGAATCTTGATAACAGTAAAATTTAAGATAAACTATACACAAAGAGCCAAGAGGTACGCATCTCTCTCTCTCTCTTTTTTTTTTTTCCAACAATAAATTGCATAACATAAAACTAGATGTACACGGACGAATAACCAAAGGGTTACAATCTTCTCCTTCCATCTAGTAACCACTAGCCAAGAATTTGACGAGGCTTGGTGTAGAATAATTATGATGCTGATTATTATTATTATTATTAAATAATTAGTAGTTAGTTTGGGGAATAAGTTAGGGTTTAGATTGAGGGCCTTATTTAAATGGCTCTTATGCTTTGTTATGGGGTGGTCAATTTTGAGAATAAATCTAATATTGGGAGTTTTGGGTGTTTTATGAGAGAGTATCTCGTTTATGGTCCCACTCGTACGCTTCCCTAATCAGTTGGTATCAGAAGTCAGCACGATTCACGATGCTGTCGTGACGAAAAGATGCTGCAAACGACAGGCGTGTCGCCGTCATCTACAGTCTAAGGTGCCGGACCGAGTGGTTTGGCCGCCAGCTCGAGAAGATGGGTTGTGAGATTGCAGACCTGTCCGCGGAGATCGGGGACATACGTCTAATTATCCGTACCATGGTTCGGGACAAGCAAACATACCGTGACGCGAGCAACCGGGGCTTGCGCGGGGGAATTCGCGGAGGAAGTGGAGGTCGTGGTCCAGGCCCGCAGGAGATCTCCACAACCACGGTCCGACGACGAAGACGGAGATGAGACAGTCTCGGAGGTGAATCCTTTCGGCGATTATCCACCCCCGCACGTCGAGGCTGACCCCTTCGCTGCATACGGCGGCCGTGACATGCGGCGACGTGGCCCGGTCTTCGTGGACGGCAACGATCAACGCGACGACAGAGACAGACGCGAGGAGGTTGCCTTTGCCGGCGGATATCGGGACTTGATCCCGAATATGGTCAATGGGAGGGCCCGTTTCGCGTTGACATCCCCGGATTCGATAGGGAGCAAGACGACGGGCCATTGTACGATGGTCCGCCGATTTTCGATGAAGAGCCTCCGGGCCCGAGGTGACTCTTTCTGATTTTGGTTTGTGTAAGCCATTGAAAAATATTCAATCTTACTAGAGGTTGCTGATGTTATTGATCTGTATTCTAAAAATGAGCGTCACAGGCATTCAAGCACAGAGACTGCGTTAAAACAGTGGAAACACAATCATCGTGCATTGGCATATTCTACAGTGGGGACACTTAATTATTCGGCGCCAGAGGGTTTGTTAAAGAAAGGGATGACATGTCGCAAGATAATAAATTGGAGAACATGTTTGAAGTTCCCTGAAGAACCAAAGATGTCTTATGAGGCTAAGGATCTGATCCTCCATTTGTTATGTGAGGTTGAACGACATTCAACCTTCGTGTTCGACCGGGGGAAACGACGGGGTTTCCTACCATGAGTTCGCCATCACACCCCGGCCGCAGGAGCGCATCGGCTTCGAGAGCGAAGCCTTCCAAACCGGGGGAGAATGGTGTAGAATAATTATGATGTTGATTATTTTTATTATTATTATTATTATTATTATTATTATTATTATTATTATTAAATAATTAGTAGTTAGCTTGGGGAATAAGCTAGGGTTTAGATTGAGGGCCTTATTTAAATGGCTCTTCTGCTTTGTTATGGGGTGGTGAATTTTGAGAATAAATCTAATATTATGAGTTTTGTGTGTTTTACGAGAGAGTATCTCGTTTATGGTCCCACTCGTACGCTTCCTTACATCACGCATGAGCATCCTAAAAGACCAAACATGGTCGCACACCAACGAAACACTCCTACAAACAAGAAACAAAGGACCAAACACTAAGAGCTTGTTTGTTAAGTAAGACAAGATGAGATTACACCATTTATCCGGACTAAATTCTTTGTTTGGTTGCCTAGATTACGCCCCGTCCGTTTTCCCTTGGCCTGCGATCAAATCTGCATTAATCTGG